GCCACATCTGCTGCTGTGCCTGGTGCCGCTGCCTACCTTCACCGCCCCATGGGGATCGGGTAGGTGGCGTCAGTCTCAAACCAGCGTCAGAGCCAAGATCCTGGTCTGTCCCTTATTAACTTGCGGGTATAAATAGGAGTAACCCTGCCCCAAGCGCACGACAACGGGCAAAATAGAGCCGATATGCCTTACAACCATATCGGATTAATCCTGATGAAGAGCATTTATAGTTTTGGACCCTCATTCACCTCTGCCTTATTGCACCTCACCAGAGGAATTCAAACCCCTGAAGATCAGAGTGACGCATGCCCAGCATGCTGCTGCGTGAATAACATCACTGAAGTTTTAAGACACAGAGCTGCTAGCAGGTGGAGGAAGGGTCTACAATAACCAGCTGTGGACATTTCCTGAGTGACAGGAGAGGGAAAGAATTTGGTCAGGGTCCAACACACGTTCCTTCATCTGCCCAAACAATTTCATCATTCCCTCTGATATTTTCACTAGCAAGCAGAGGTTTACTTACGTAGTGTGAAGCTATTTCCAGAGCTCGTCCTGTCTGAGCTGAAATCAGAGTGTAGCCACAGTCACACTGTGAGCAACGGGACCAAGGGGTTGGATTTAAAGAAGAATAGTAGTTGTAGTTAGAAGGGAGTCTCAGCTACTCAGCTGGCTTTGGTTCAGGTCCTGTATCCCGTGGCCTCCTCCAGCAGCCACTGTGGAGAGAGACATGAAGGGAACAGGAACAAGGAACTCCCAAGAGGAAAAGATAAGATTTTTAATGATTTCCTGACAAGGGGTAATTTTTCTGACATTCTCCTGCACACGTGAATGGTGCAGGAGGCTATCTTCAGTATGAGCCTTCAGGAAGGTCAGTGCTGTGTTTCCTTTCAGTCAGCAAAGGGGATCTCTTATCCAGTGCGATTTCATCTGCCCTGATGGAAAAGATCTCTGGTAAGGAGGACTCCTCTCCGGGGAGGTGTTTAAAGCCAAGGGGTTCACTTTGGAGGTGCTCTGTTTGCAAAAGTACTGCTCTGTGGGTGAAGAGCACCTATAAAGTTGACAAAGTGACCGCTGTGTCCTGATGAGCTGCTTATCCATAAACCAAAAGGATGGGCTTAGCCACCTTCACCAAACAGGAGAACCATTCTGCAGTATTTATATATCTGGCATATAAAGTTCAGCACAGACATGCTAGACTCTCTCTTGGGTGGCTGGCAAAAATGGTGCATGAACCACCAGTGTCCCTTTCACCTCTGCATGGCCTTCAGACACCTAGACCATCCTAGCCTAGGCTCAGCTAGGCAGGTAGGTTGTCCCATTCAGTGATGGCCTGAGCTACCTCTGCTTCTTTGAAGGTGTGTAACTGAGGCGCTCTCTTATCTGTGGTATTCTTTTGTCTTTCCCGTTGGATCCTTTAACAACCTCTTTCTAGCCTCTTCTGGCCTAATCCTGTATCCCCTAGGCATGGGTGCAATAAGGGTGAGGGAACAGAGCCACCATCGCGTTCATGCAAGGCGGTACAGATATTTTCTCACTTCAATTTTTGAGTTGTATTTTCCTGGAAAGCATTCAACCAGCCCCACTTACAGGGCAGGAGGGACTGAATTCTTGTGTTCAGCTCTGGGCAAACTACCCGCTTGCAGGTCTGTCTCCTCCTCCTCCTCCCTCTGCAGCTTCTTTCTTCCCGTGGTTTGCATCTGCCACCAGAGAGCAGGCTCAAAATCCTGATTTCAGAGAAGACAATGGGAAGTTTACGACGTGTCCTCAGCAAGTACACGTTTTTTACTCGCTGAATCACAGGATCCTACTGAGCAAGGATTGAAACTAGGATCATCAGCAAGCGTGAAGAAATGGGTCATAGTGATCTCAGCACTGTGGCTGCTACTTTGTGGGAAATGCAATGTGCCAACAGATCCGATTCTTTTTCTTCCTCCAGAATCTACCCAAAAGTGAGGAAACTGTATCACACTCATCAGCATGCTGCACATTCCCTGGGTCTCTGCCTGGCTGCCTAGACATGGAGCCCAAAGGGACGTCTTTACCTTCGTGATTGCATTTGTTGTCAGTTTGGAGGTGGGGCTGGTATTTAACATCTGTTTGTACAATGGGGCACTAATTTGGAGGCTTCTGGCTGCTATTGTCATACACGTAATTAATGATGTAAAAATCTTAAAGATCTACTTGAGTGAAGATTTCATACAATTAATGAAGAGAATCAAATACATTATTATATGCCCGTGCTCATTTTGACCAAAAAAAAAATCAAATGTGAGTATAAAACCACTCCTGGTTAGGCTTTTGTAACATTTTCTGTGTGTAGAATTGTTTTAACAAAAAGAGCTTCCCCTTCCCCATTACGTGCTGCAATAATGCACAATCACATCCACACACATGCGTGGAACCGAACAGGAGCTCTCGTAGATCTGGTGTGGCAATGCTTTACTGCTGAGAACCAGGCGCTTATTCCAACTCATTCCTGAAGTCTCCTGCTGCACAGCATGCGTTTTAACCTGTCGTTCAGACTGAAGAGTCATAACGTGCATTATTCACAGTGAATATACTAGGTGCTCTTGAGACACAGCCACTTCAGGCCTGGAAGGGCAGCAGTAATTCTGCATATGACCACAGGAAAATGAGGAGCAGTCTTTTGCTCAAGGGCGCTGGAGCAGCCCTTCTTATCCCCACGGAAAACAATATGGCATTAAAGATCAGTATAGACAATAACTGCTGGTAATGCCTGTACTTTGCTACGTGTTCACGCAGAGATTGGAAATCACTCTGCATACCTGGGAGTAGCATCACTAAAATGTCGTCATTTCTACTTGTCCGTTCAGGTTCCCTTCCTTTTATCATCTTGATGGTATCTGAGCAGCTACACCCCTGTGTCTAGTATAAAATAGAACCCTGCCAAAGGATGTCTTTGTGCTAATCAGGTATTTAATAGAGCTGTAGTTTTATCGGATACCTCCATTCAAATTAGGCAGTAGTGTCCCCTCGCCACCACCCTCAAAAGCCATCTACAGCGACTAGAGAATTCAATTCTGCCAGCACACGATACTGAACATGGTAAGACGACTGAAAATTCTTCGTGTGGAAAGGTTATTTCTGGAGTATGTAACAGATATTATTAATAGACGCTTAACAACAGTCACTGGAAAATTGAAGTCTATTTGACCAAGTTGTCTGAGGTTTCTTGCGAGGAATGCTGAACCACTCCAAACCTTACAAGCTAGTTTTCCAAACCTCCTTCCAAATGGCTGTTGCCCTTTTCAGTCCATCAGGGATACTTTTGACCCAAAAGGCGCGTGCTAGAGCAACCTCCCCGCAGCCTGCCCAGGGTGCTCCTTTGCAGCACTCTCACTTGGAGACGCGGGCACCACAGAGCTCTGCCTGGCAGCATTTGGCCTGTGAGGATTCCCAGCCCCCCAGGATGCTAAGTGCCAATGGTTGACCTTCGCCTTGGCTGAGTTGCAGCAGTATCTCTGGAAAAATCAAACTGGTAACCTTGCGGCGGCAGTCGCTGCTGAAGCAAGGGGCACACAATCTTGGGTGCCAATGGGAACAAGTAACATTTTTAGACCAAAAGATCCTCGTGAAATGTGTTTCTCCTCTCTTCGTCTTTCCTGGTGCTGCCCTGATTTCCAGAATGAAGGGTGAATTGTTGCTATACAATAAATGATTTCTCCCAGAGCTCTGCCATACGAGTTTACTCTGCCTTTGTGCTGCAGTATCAACCACCTTGTTGAGTGGGAAGGTTGAAGCAGAAAACAAAGCACATACGAACAGCTCCTTAACATCCCAGTTTATTTAATCCAACTCCATGGTAAAAGGTACTACTTTACATATGACTGCTGAGTCCACATTAGCGTGATGTTCTAAGGGGCAAATCAAAAAGCATCATTCCTTCCCCCCAAACCCAGAGGAGAAGCTGCTTTTGTTTAAGTGGTGTTGCTGATAGCACGTGGTAGGTGGTGCAGGAGAAATTCTTCTCTCTCCTTCCTTTTTTTCCTGTTCTCGTAGGGTTTTTTTCATACCTTCTTATTTCCTTCCCACTTTCACCATGCATGGGATGATTTACTTGAGCTGAATATATGTTATTTTCAGTCTGTTATGCCTTCAAACCCATTCTACCCAGCAATTGAGGCTGTACTCTTCAATGAGCAATGTGCAGTTTTTGCACGTAGTATCGAAGGCCTCTGCTGTCACCCACTGTGGGTACCCTAGGGGGTTCCCGTGAGGATCCCCCCCTTGACGGGCACCAGCAGACAACCCGCGTTTCCCATCGCTCTCACTTCAGTAAGTCTGGTTGCCCGGTTTTGCCTTCTGCACGGTGTCAAAGCTGGGTTGTGGCCACCAAGTGATAGCGTCGTTTCTGCAGCAAGGCCTGCTAGCCCTCCGGTCTTGCCTTCAGGCCCTCCAGCGCTCTCGTCGCATTGTCAAACATTTGCTGTGGGTTTTTTTGTAAAACGTGAGCGGACGTGAGCATGAGCATAGGGAAAAACACATGATTACAATTCTCTCTGGCTTATGAACAAGGCAACAACAGCATAACGTTAAGGAACCATGTTGTGGTAGATGAGTATGCAGAGTGTCCAATTGGATGTGTTTTATCACTGTTTTTTTTTCTTCTTCTTCTTTTAGCTAGCTGGCTTACAGTTTCTTTATTTTGGCTGAGGATTGCCACAGCCCTTCTGGCTCATTCCTTAGCCTGCCTGAC